AAACTAACAATTTAGTCCCGTAACTATGCAATTTTTAACACATTTGGTTCTCCCGGCCAAATGTTGCCGGAAAAACTTAAACCTTTTAAAAAAATTTATTTATGGGGACAAAAGAGTCATTTTACGTTTTTTTTTTTAAAAAAAGGAAAGTTGCTTCTTCATCTTCTTTGCGTACCAGCTCACCACCACCATCTTGAAAAGCTATCTCGGCTCCAATTTGAACAGGGCGAGCGGCTCCTCGTCGTACATGGTTCTGGTGATCGTCGTCGTTACGACTTTGGTGTCCAGGCACATGGTTTCGCCGTCGTTTTTTACGGTGATGTCGTACTTTTTGGATCCCTCCGTCGCGAATACAGGAGCGAAAATTTCTTCAATTTCGTGAAAATCTCCTCCGCGCCGGGCGGCGGACAACAAATCCGGGAAGTTTTTGCAGCCCTGTTTAGTCATTAAAGTAGTTAAGTTAATGTCGGTGGGTTTCGCGGCCGGAGCTTCCCAGGCGAGGGAGATAATGGCGTGGCTGATTTGGAGGACGACGATTTTGTATGGCTCTTCTATCAGGGATTTGACGTAAGTGGAGCTGATTTGGAGGACGACAATTCTGGAGGGACTTTGCTGCCCTTAGGGCTGGTGATGTTGATGTAGCCGGCGGTGCTGGGGACCTCGCCGGTGGCCTAGTAGATGGTGGCGGCGACCGTGGTACGCGAAGAAGAAGAAGAAACAACTTTTATTAGGATATCTCGTTGGTAAACCCAATAATAATCCTAAAATATAAGGATTATTATTTTCTGTAGAAAAAGGGAAGGAAATATGAGGAGATTGGCTTAGTGTTTGGTGTAGAGTTTTTAGCAAGAGTCAAGCGATCACTCTTTCTTTAAAATCTTATTTGCTACCTCCCACAAGTGTTAGGAGCGTTGTAGCCTAGGCTTCCCATCCAGGATAAAACTTGCTACGATTCAGTGTTTGAGCACTCAAACAAAGAATTCGGCGGACTAGAGCAAGATTATGAATACAGTATGGGAAATTAAAGAAAGACTAGAAGTAGAGAGTTTTGAGGTTGAAAAATTATACTTTCTTGTTGTGTATAGAACTCTACTGCCCAACTCTTTCTTATATAGGGGTTGAAGAGTTTAATAGCTTTTAATTTAGGCATTTAAGGGCACCCTTACAACTCCCTTTCATTTCACTAACCAGCCCGTAGGTGTTGACGCACACGAGATCAGGCTTTGAGCCAAACCTTTTTTATCTCATTTTGGGATTTGATTTGCACCTCCGAGACTTGAACTCTATAATTTTTTAAAAAATATGACAACTTAATTTTTGAGTACTACAAACACTGTTTCACCATTTCCACTGAGACTTGAATCCACAACCTCTTATATGTGAGAGCAACTTGGTGCTACTAGACCACAAGGTCCTTGGCATATGACAACTTAATTGAACTTATTGAAAATAAAATAGAGTAAATTATTATTATTATTATTATTATTATTATTATTATTATTGTAATTTTATTTTTTTATTACATTATTACATAGGGTTTTTGTTATACTTGATTATCCCACATTGAAATGTTTGGATAGAGGAGCTCTTGAGGTCCTCTATATTATTAAGAGGAGCAATTCACCCCAAAACGCTCTTAAATAAGAAGCCTTAATTAGTTTAATGACTTCTAATTTTAGTTTTTTTTTTTTTTTAATTTACTATTATTTGGATGGTTTGGGAAAGATTAACCCAAAACGTATATATGTTGTTTTAGCTTTTAAAATTTTGGAGTAAATTGCTGAGTTATTAAATAATATTTTTGGTGTTTTAATTAAAGACAAAATGTTAAAATGACAAATTTGTTAAAATTTAGGCGAATTTGTGAATAATCAAACAAGGCTATTATCTAATAACTATTATGGCATTTAAAAAATTAATTGTATAGATATTAAAATTCGTTTGGAAAGTAGGAAAATAATTTTTGAAAAATGAGTTATTTTTCAGAAAACATTTTTGTTTGGGAAAATTGTAAAAAATGCCACTCTATAATATGTCAATTATCAATGTCACTCCTGAATTATGAGTGGTGTAAATGTTGCCCCTTAATTATAAAAACGGTGCACATATAGCCCCTCCCATAACGGAGTTGTGGTTCCCCACCACTGTCCATCGCTGGTACTTCGAATCAAGGGAGGTAAAAAACAACTAAATTACATATTTACTCCGACTTAACGGTGTTGTACACTAACGGGGAACCACATGTCCGTTACGGGAGGGGCTATATGTGCACCGTTTTAATAATTGAGGGGCAACATTTACACTACTCATAATTCAGGGGTGACATTGATAATTGACATATTATAGAGGGGCACTTTTAACAATTTTTCCCTTTTTGTTTTTAATGTTTGGCTGCACAAAAGAAAATTGTCTAAAAGAAAATTTATATTATTATTATTATTAATATTATTATTATTATTATTATTATTATTATTATTATTATTATTATTATTATTATTATTATTATTATGTAATGTAATAATGTAATAATAAAATAAAATTAAAATAATAATAATATTAATAATAATATAATGATAATCAAAACAAATCTATATACAAAATAAAATTAAAATTTAAAAAAAATTAGACAAAGAGGAATCACGAGCTGCCCTTTGTAAATGATGTGGGATTATTTTGATCCGACATCGAAAATGTTTGGAAAGAGGAGCTCAAGAGCTCCTCTATATAAGAGGAGCAATGCTTCTCTTCCAAAAATAATTGCTTGCCCATCAACGTGGGCCAGTATTGAAAAGCCAAATGACTCGTATTTAAGAAGTCTTAGCTTAATGGCTTCTTATTTTAGTTTTTTTTTTTTCAGAAAATAATTTTCTTTTTAATGTTTGGCTACACAATAGAAAATTGTCTAAAATAAAATATAGTATTATTATTATTATTATTATTATTATTATTATTATTATTATTATTATGTAATAATGTAATAAATAAATAAAATGAAAATAAAAATAATATTAATAATATAATAATTAATTAAAACAAAACTATATGCACAATAAAATTAAAATTAAAAAAAAAAAAAAAAGACAAATGGACGGGCCCTCCTTTGTAAATGATATGGAATCATTTTGATCTCACATCGAAAATGTTTGAAAATAAAAGCTCTTGGGCTCCTCTATATAAGAGGAGCAATGTTGGCAAGTATTGAGAAGCCCTCTTGATCTCCTCTTCCAAACATAATTGCTTGCCCATCAATGTTGGCAAGTATTGAAAAGCCAAAATGCTCTTATATAAAAAGTATTAATGACTTCTTATTTTAATTATTTTTTAAATTTAAATTTAAATTAATTAATAATTAATTAATTAATTAATTTGTTTATTAGGGGGTTTTGGAAAAAGATTAATCTTAAATATTTCTCCAAAATGTATATGTGTTGTTTTTGTTTTTAGCAGTTTGGAGCAAATTGCGGAGTTATTAAATAATATTTTTGGTGTTTTGATTAAAAACAAAACGTTAAAATTACGAATTTGTTAAAATTTTGACGAATTTGTCAATAATCAAACATGGTCATTATCTAATAATTAATATGACAATTAACAAATTAATTGTACAAGTATTGAAGTTCGTTTGGAAAGTAGGAAAATGATTTCTGAAAAATGAGTTATTTTTTAAAAAATATTTTTCTTTTCAATGTTTGACTGCACAATAAAAAATTGTGTTTGTGTATTTGATTCAAACCATATCTTTATTAATTGCACTATATAATATTTGATGTTCTAATTTCAATAATTAAATATTAATTTAAATATTCTTAATATATTACAACAAATCTATTCTGTACATTGCACGGGTGTTAAAATTTGTGGCCAATATGGAAGGGAGGACTTACAGGTGCAAATTCTACATCACGCCATCTACAACTACAACTGCTATTTACCATAGGAGGGTTCGCCAACCTGCTGCCATCTCTGCTTCGCCGGAACCAAAAACCACCGGTGAAGGCCCCAACATCGCCGGATCTGTTGCTGCACCGCCAGATCTGCCTTACTGGTCCGTCGCCGGAAGGAGTTACTGCCTCGTATGCTCGCCGCCGTACCCACAACTCGCCGGAGAAGAACCTCGCTACTACTCACTACCGACGGTTACTACTTAACCGCCAAGTCTCGCCATCTCGCCTCACAGGAGTCACAGCAGCGCTGGTCTAAACAAGATTATAAGAATAAGACATAAAAAGACAGAAAAGCCCTTCTAATTCACGGTCAACAAACGGCTTCATTGATGGAGGATCAAAACTGTCCAACGACCAATAACAGTGTCTACTAAGTGGCAATTTTTATTATGGAGGATGAAAAGTGTCAATGCCTCAATAAGTCTAGGACCAAAAATGTCATTAACTCCGGAATACAATACAAGAATATTTAATTATGGTTATATTATTATTGTGCCTCACGACCATTACATACTAACAGTACTTGAAAATAAATTAATAATAATAATAATATAATAATAATATAAGTGGTAATAATAATATCTAAAAGTAATTAAGTTTTAATAATAATAGTAAGAATATTAACGTAAGAGTTGTAACATAGAATAAATTGTAATAATTAATAACTATAGTCTAGGATTAAATTTGGAATTGTCAGGAAAGATAAACGACCTCGGTTGAAATTAACTCTTAAATAATTATATATCGATTTAAATATTCTTCATATATTACAACAATTCCATTCCGTGCATCGCACGGGTGAAAATGCTAGTTGATTTCAAAAACATAATCTAAATGGGGTCTCAACGTGAGAAGAGAAAAAATGTACAATGTCAAAAATTAGGAGACAATAAAATATTTACATATATATCTGCTATGCACATACATTTACATTCACCACTACACTTCATTGCCATAGATTCACAACAAACCTAGTGTATCTAGCTATCTAGCTAGGTGAAGCACTTGATGACAACTATATATACGCAATATAATAAGAGTGGCTTAGCTGCAATTCTATATATTCTTTTCCCAACAGACAAACCCTTCTCTCTCCTTCATCTAATTGTTATAATCATGTCATCAAGAGCCCTGGAGCCTCTCATCTTGGGAAGAGTTGTGGGAGAAGTTGTTGATCCCTTCACCCCAACTTCCATAAGAATTGTTGTCACTTACAATAACAAGCTTGTCTCCAATGGCCATGAGTTCTTCCCTTCTGCGCTCACCTCTAGACCTAGGGTCGAGATTCATGGAGGTGACCTGAGAACTTTCTTTACGTTGGTACGTCACTACGAGAAAATATTGAAATACTTTTAGATTTAGTAATAACTTAAGTATGGTAGCTACTAATTTTATTGATTTACTTATTACTTAATTAAGTACCTATACAAACTCGTTAACAAATTAAATACCTAGCGATTTCATTTATTTATCTATGAATTTTTTGTTGATTTTCTTGTAGTGTGTGTGAGTGCACGAATGTGTCGTATATATTTCTTTTAGTTATAATTTTATTTTTTGTATTTATTCTCGATTTTATTAGAAAGAACTAGGAGTTTGACTCGGGTTTAATTAACAGGTGATGACGGATCCTGATGTTCCTGGCCCTAGTGATCCTTACCTAAGAGAGCACATCCACTGGTAAGTTGATTTCTCGATTAATAATTTATTAAAAAGAAAAAAAAAAAGAGAAGAACACTATATATATATATATATATATATATATATATATATATATATATATATAGGGAAGGTTCAGGTGCGGGTATAAGCTTCTCGTGCGGTTGACACACCTTAAGTACACAAACTATGCGCCTTAAGCTCACAAACAAATCACCTTAAGAATTGAACACAAACCACTCACCTTAAGTACACAAATCACGCATTTTAAGCACACAACAAAGCACTTTAAGAACACAAACCACGCACCTAAAGTTTTAAAATGGTTCACCTTAAGTTCCACACAACTGACGCACCTTAAACATACAAATCACACACCTTAAGAAGGAAAAGAACGCACACCTTAAGAAGGAAAGCCACCCACCATAAGTTTCAAAAACTACCCACATTAAGAACAAAACACATGCACCTTAAGTTCCACACAACTGACGCACCTTAAACATACAAATCACACACCTTAAGAAGGAAAAGAACGCACACCTTAAGAAGGAAAGCCACCCACCATAAGTTTCAAAAACTACCCACATTAAGAACAAAACACATGCACCTTAAGCACAAAACACACACACCTTAAGTTTCAAAAACTACTCGCATTAAGCACAAAACACACGCACCTTAAGCACAAAACACACGCACCGTAAGCACAAAAACCATGCACATTAAGAAGGAAAACCACGCACCATAAGTTTCAACAACTTCTCACATTTCGCACACAACCCACGCACCTTAAGCACAAAATCCACGCACCTTAAGCACAAAAACCACGCACATTAAGAAGGAAAACCACTCTCCTTAAATTTGACCTAGATGCAAAAATTAACCGCACCTGGGCGCACCAACCGCATCCAGCGCGCGCCACGTGTCCAGATCTAGGTGCACCTATAGTTATAAGTAGGTGCACCTAGGTGCATGAATGTTTGCCGGCCTAATGCTTTAGGGGCGTGGTTTTCTTTCTTAAGGTGCGTTGTTTTCCTTCTTAAGGTGTGTCGGTCTAAAGTTTTAGGTGCGTGAGTTTCCTTCTTAAAGTGCATTGTTTTCCTTTTTAAAGTTTTAGGTGCGTGAGTTTCCTTCTTAAAGTGCATTGTTTTCCTTTTTAATGTGCTTTGTTTTCTTTCTTAAGGTGCTTTATTTTTCTTTCTTAAGAAAGAATAAAATAAAATGAATTTTTATTAATTTCATAAACAATTCCACTGTCAGACGAGAGCATAAAAGCAGGACACACGTTTTTTTTTTTTAATTTTCATTTTCATTGATTTGAGTCATTGATCTAGATTTCATCAATGGCTCAGATGTAACCCATTGTTTACCTGGGGAACGCTCTCATGCGAATGGCCGCCCAGGAGAGAAATAAGAACTATTTACAATTGTCTACGTGTCCAGATGAACGAATCAGATGTGATTTTAAAAATTTGACGCGGTGACATTTTTGTAAATAACTCGAACTTTGGTGCAAGTAAGTGTGTTATAAGTGCAAGTAGCTAGTGCATCTTTACAAGTAAAAAGTGCAAGTAAAATCACTTACAAGTGCATCTATTTTCACTTACGAGTGCAAGTAATTTACCTTGTTAACATTCATGCACCTAGGTGCAACTAATTATAACGTTAGGTGCAACTAGTTATAACGTTAGGAGCACTTAGTATTGATGCTCATTGTACATTTTATTTGCATCTGTAATACATTTTACTTGCATTTGGGTGCACTATATGAAACTATTTTTTGCACGTGTAATATATTTTACTTGCACTTGTAATACATTTTACTTGCACTTCGATGTTCAAGTTTTTACGAAAATGCCACCGTATTTTTCTCTTCAAATTAGTGTTTGTCATTCGTTAAATCTGGACACGTGGCCGATTGTCATACGTTCTGAGTTCTCTCATGGGTGAACCATTCTCATCTGACTATATAAATAAATAAATTTATATATATATATATATATATATATATATATATATATATATATATATATATATATATATATATATATATATAGAGGGTCAGGTTCCTGTAAGGTCAGGTCTTCTCGTGCGGTCAGTGCCGCATACACCATTAGGTATGTATAAATGCACCACAAGGTGTTCGTAAATACACTATATGTGTTGTGTATTTTTTTTGTGTTGTGTCTTTTTTAGCATTTTATTCTGGTGTATTTTTGAACACTGTATGATGCTGTATGCCGCACTGACCGCACGGGAAGATCTGACATCACAGGAACCAAAATCTATACATCCATACATACATACATACATACATACATACATATATATATATATATATATATATATATATATATATATATATATATATATATATATATATATATATATATATATATATATATAGTCAGGTTCTTGTGAGGTCAGGTCTTCCCGTGCGGTCAGTGCGGCATACACCATTAGGTATGCATAAAACAAGTAAGATCTGATGGATAGGAAAACAAGTAAAAATGAGCGGAGTCATTTTCTTATATATTACAAACTTTTGAATTTTGTAATATTTATGAAAACGAGTCCATTTTTTTTTTTTTTTTTTTTTGTATTTTCAACCAAATGGTTTAGATTTGTCTACAAGTACTCACCTGAGGCATGATTCTCATGGAAGTCTAACTATATATATATATGGTCAGGTTCCTGTAAGGTCAGGTCTTCCCGTGCGGCATACACCATTAGGTATGCATAAATACACCACACGGTGTTCGTAAATACACTATATGTGTGGTGTATTTTTTTTGTGTTGTGTATTTTTTGGCATTTTATTCTGGTGTATTTTTGAACACTGTATGATGCATTTATGCATACCTAATAGTGTATGCCGCACTGACCGCACGGGAAGATCTGACCTCACAGGAACCAAATTCTATATATATATATATATATATATATATATATATATATATATATATATATATATATATATATGTATGTATGTATGTATGTATGTATGTATGTATGTATGTATGTATGTATGTATGTATGTATGCATACATACATACATACATACATACATACATACATATATATATATATATATATATATATATATATATATAGGGTCAGGTTCTTGTGAGGTCAGGTCTTCCCGTGCGATCAGTGCAGCATACACCATTAGGTATGCATAAATGCACCACACAGTGTTCGTAAATACACCATTATGTGTGTTGTATTTTTTTTGTGTGGTGTATTTTTTGGCATTTCATTCTGGTGTATTTTCGACTCACTGTATGGTGCATTTATACATACCTAATGGTGTATGCCGTACTGACCGCACGGGAAGACCTGACCTCACAGGGACCAAAAAAAAAAAAAAAAAAAAAAAAATATATATATATATATATATATATATATATACACACACACACACACACACACACACACACATAGAATTAGGATAACACTTTCTTAGGTGAGAACTTGAGAACAAATCGTGTGCATCCATCTAATATTTTTAAGTGGTCTAGATTAGATTAAGTGTGTGCGAACGCGAATTAAATGTGTGCAATAGTGATTAAGTGTGTTTGCATACATTTAATTCGCGTTCGCCCACACTTAATTAATCTAATCTAGACCATTACAAAGATTAGATGGATGTACACAATTTGTTCTCACGTTCTCACCTAAGCTAGTGTTCTCATTGGAACCCTACTCTATATATATCTATATATATCAAATATCAATTAATTGTATTTTAAATTTTTATCTAGAATAAAATAGTGGAATATATATTAATGTATAAATTAGTCTGCAAATAGACGAAATAGTTTTTAATTAAATTGATGCAATACACTAACCAAAGAGCTATTATTTTTAACATTTTGATCTCAATTGCGCTATTTATAAAACACTAACATTAGCAATTTGATTTAGTCATCCAACAAATCGTCTAAAATTAGTGAATCATTTACCAAAATATTTTTGGGTGACGAAGGAAACTCACAACCAATATCTATGCAAAGGATAAACCCCACTCCTGAGTTGACATATGCCATGTTTGGTAAATGGTTGTTAGCTGTTAGCTGATTGTGTTAATTATAAGGTATAATTAGTTGATAATATTAGTTGATTGTAGAAAAGTGTTTGGTAAATTAGCTGTTAGATGATAGCTAGGTGTTTGGTATAATGTTTTTTTTTTTATTAAAAAAAAAAAAGCTAATTGAAAAAGTTGCTTGGGGTAGCTTTTTAAAATTTAGCATTTTGAAGTTGCAAAAACCTAATTAACCAAACACTTGTATTGATATTTTAACTAAATCAAATAATTAATAGTAGTCAAATAAATTAAAACCAAACAGGGCCATATTTAGTTTGTGTAAAAATAGCAATGTCTTAATTTTCTGTATGCTGATTTAGGTTAATATTAATTTTTCCAGGATTGTTACGGATATTCCAGGAACCACTGATGCCACCTTTGGTAAGTTGAGTACTTGTACTGTATATTTGTGAAGCCTTGCCCTTCAATTTTCACATGGAATTTATTTTTTAAAATTTATTTAATATATAATCATTAAAAAAAAACCTATATTGACGAACATGAATTAGTCAACCTTATTGTTGAGATAGAAAAAAGAGTTCCTTAGTAATTAAAAAAATCATATCACCAAAAAAAAAATGACATAAATAGTCCGAAACGGGTGACTTACCATGTGGAGCATAAATCTTTTATCTAAAGTTACGAATTTAAGTTTTATCAAATTTGATGTATATATATGTTTTTTTTTTTTTTTTTAAATAGGAAGGGAGTTGGTTAGCTATGAGAGCCCTAAGCCTAACATAGGGATCCATAGATTTGTATTTATTCTCTTCAAGCAAACACGCAGACTATCCGTTGTTACCCCACCACTCTCGAGGGATCACTTCAACACCCGACGTTTCGCCGCCGACAACGGCCTCGGCTTACCGGTCGCCGCCGTCTTCTTCAACGCACAACGAGAGACTGCCGCCAGACGACGTTAATTCACGCTACAACATTGTCAACGTACGTTGTTTGTCAAGATGTTTTGAGTGTATTGTGAAGTGTGAACTATAATGCAATGTGAGAAAGTGGAATATATACATATATATCTGTGTGTGTAATGTAAGTGTAAGTGTGCGAGTGAGAGAATGTATTGTTTATTAATTATTAAAACAAATAGAATTATATATCTGTTTTGTTCTATTGTGTTAGAATTATTTAATCGGAAAATGTACAAATGGGCCATTGAACTATTTGGGAATAATAATTAAGTCATCGAACTCGAATAAGCTCTAAATTCATCCATGAACCTTGAAAAAAGAGCAATTTGTTGAAAAATATTCGCAACGTTAACGCGTGAGTTGGGCACCTTTTAAAGAAACACGGACACAATGGATGTATGGCTGAAAAGAAGTCTCTGCCGTGTTATGATAACACTACCTTAAAAGCGTTATTTGCCCGATGACGGTGTCGACAAATCGATACGCTTTCGATAGGCTACACAGAGTAACCATGCTAAGCTCGCACCAGCTTAAACGTAGCTGAACCTCACTATTGCTCAGACTTTAACTAGCAGACATAGAAGGAAGAGAGAAAGGAAATGTTTTCCTGGGTGTGTCTAAACTCAAAGGCAAGCCCTGTTTAAATAATAGAGGCCAAGTAATTTAGGCCTCATATTATTTAAAGGATCTTAACCACTCATTAATTTGTGGTAAATGTTAAACAACCACATAATTATTTGTTGTCAAGGTTAAACCACCACATAATTAATGAGTGGCTTGCATTTTTCCCAACAATCCCCACAAATGCAAGGGAATGGAAAAAAGATGTCAGAGCAATACAAATGAGTTGATCTTAATGTCAGTGTTTGTGAACTTGAACTGACACATAGTGACACTAAGTAATTATCTTTCCGAGAGTGATATGAATCTTGAACTCACCTGTTAGATAAATTTTGAACTCTAATTCACACACCAACTCAAAAAAGCAGGTTCTACGAAAGTCAAACTCTTTGACTTCTTAATTATGAGTATCCTTAGTATTCAAGTCTGTTATGTCTATCTTAATATAGACCTACACTCTGTCAAAGTCTATCTCAACATAGATTTTTAACTCTGACAAGTCTTATCGCATTGTAGATTTTTTATATCTTGTCAAGTCCATCTCAATATAGACTTTTAACTCTACCAAGTCTATCTCAGTATAGACCACCTTTAAAGGCTTATAGAGTAGTTAAAAACATAAATCAGTTCTAAGCCTTTTCTTTCTATCATAGGCACTATTCTTTGCAATGCAAATGATAGTTTGTGAATCACAATGTGGTGAAGGTGTTGGACACCCCCACAACTGCACGATTATCACCATGTTTCTTAGCCACTCAGCTTCTTGGGATAACCCCATTATCTTTCATAAGAGGCGGTTAGCCCTTTTCCACTCAAGCCAGGGATCTCTTTATGTCTACCTCAACATAGACCACCCCCAATTGAGTATAAGTCACCAAGAGCACTTTGTACCCATTTCATTATGCGGTGAATTCATCAGGTTTGTCTCAACAAAACCACCATTCTCAAAGAGTTATGAATTCATTAAGAGCTGTGGCTCAACCTCACAAGTACACACAACGTAGGAATGACCAACTAGTGTACTATTTTGTAACTCTTTTCATGGTTTCGTTTGACCACAAAAGTGAGACCCACTACGAATTCATTACCACTTGGACTTTAAGTCCTTTCAATGATTCAGTGACTAATCCTCATAATTAACCCTCAAGTAAGTTGATTCTCTTGATCAAACTTACATGCACTTTGACGAGTACTTTGTTTACTCGTAAATAATCCCTTGAGATTTTCATGCTTAACATGAAACATTCTCTTTCATCATTATTCTCAATACCACAGAGAAACTTTTGATGAAAATATAAGGAGTTAATTACCCCCCACAATGCAACACTTACAAATATTTTTGTCAAAGGTATTTGATCTCTTACCCAGATTAATCTTGGGTGCTCCAATATTATTAGCCCCTTTGTACACTGAGTTTTGCTAATTTCCTCTGTGGAGCATTATAGTAGCTCTGTACTTTACCTGATACATACTCAACAGTTGAATATAATTCAACAAACTTGGTTATCTCAACTCATCATGATTATCCCTTAACTAGGAATTATAGGTATTTTAATATGACTCAACCAAGAATTTAAATAATATATATACAAATGCTCGTTGTTAGTAAGCTATAGAAATAATGTTGTTCACATGCTACATCAAGTTGAACAACCTACTCACAAATTTCACATTATATTCTTATAAGAAATTAATCTCATACACCAGGAATATGTTCTAGCTCATATCTATTAGGAAATATCTCTCAACAATGAGACTTCAGAATTGTTACTTGCACAATTTTTCCTTCACTTGAAGAAATTAAAAATTCATATGATGCAGATCAATATTACTATTGCAGTAATTCAACCATTTCTATTGCAAGGCTTTGATTGTTTAACAACATATGAAAGTCAATCTCATTTCAGGTGAAGATCAAGTGGCGCTCTAACTAGCCTGCATGATCAACACCCTACTTCTTAAAACTCCTAGGTCGAGTGGTGAAACCAAAGTTTACTTAAAAACCATCTTCCTAGACAGAGTATTAAAGAAGGATGACTTTTCCATGCTACCACCACAGTGTGAGTAAAGCCTTGGAATTTAGTCTCGGTACACAATTCAGATATTTAAGATTAAGTGACTGAAAAGCATATATGTATTTCATCAAATAGTGCAATGTTTGTAACATATCCACAATATAACACATAATGTTATAAATTTGACATGTGCATAAGTACTCAATTTATAAGCTTTAAATCGAAATGATGATTTATCACTTAGTAGTAGTGTTAAACCAACACTTCTAACATAACAAAATCATAAAGCTCATCCATGTGAATAATAACAATTCACTTATCCTTGTGTACACTGTTGTTAATTTTCTCTATAATATTCAAAGCACTCACCATATAAAATATGAAATGAAATGACGATTTCTAAAATGTTTGTCACAATATATATATATATATATATATATATATATATATATATATATATATATATATATATATATATATATATATATATATATTTCACATTTCAAATGCTTTCTAAACATAATAATCAAATGGATGCAAAGATATAGGCAAACCATCTTCTAAATTATGCATTATAATAGCTTTAAGGGAATATGGACAATGCCCAATAATATATGATTACTTGTACGTGCTCAAAAATAATCATTTGCATATGATAGTCTATTATAATATAAATATGCATGTGTCATATTAAAATATGAGGAAACAAACTTCATCGTAGTATGGCCAAAGCTCCGATATGAACCCAATAATTATTTCTGTTGTACTCCATTGCTTAAAGGTGACACATAAGCCGAAGTAGTATGCTTCATCAGTATTGTTCTGTATGAAGCTGCTGCCTTCCACTGCTAATATCTGTTGTTGCTACACCATCATGTCACCAAAAATTATTATAATCTGCTTCATGATTCGAGTAGTTGACTGTTGCTATAAATAACGCTTTTAACTGTTGGAAAATATTCGCAACGTCAACGCGCGAGCTAGGCACCTTTTAAGAAACACGGACACAATGGATGTATGGCTGAAAAGAAGTCTGTGCCGTGTTATAATAACACTACTTTAAAAGCGTTAATTACCCGGTGACGGTGCAGTCGACAAACCGGTACGCTTTCGACAGGCTACACAGAGTAACCACGCTAAGCTCGCACCAGCTTAAACGTAGCTGAACCTCACTATTGCTCAGACTTTAACTAGCAGACATAGAAAGAAGAGAGAAAGGAAATGTTTTCCTGGGTGTGTCTAAACTCAAAGGCCAAGTAATTTAGGCCTCATATTATTTGAAGGATCTTAACCAAAGTTAAACCACCACATAATTATTTATGGTCAAGGTTAAACTACTACATAATTAATGAGTGTCTTGTATTTTTTCCAACACAATTAACATTTCTAACAGGTTAACAACAAGTTTGCGCTGATTGGGATGCCATATATATATATATATATATATATATATATATATATATATATATATATATAATCCTACTTGGATTACATGTAAGCATTTGACCTTTTGAAGTCAAAATTTAAACCCTAAAAAAAAAAAAAAAAAAAAAAAAAAAAAAAAACTGGACAGTGGGCAGAACAATAATACAGTTTACAGCAGCAAGTCAGCAGAAAATCCAGCAATTCGCAACAATAACCAATAACCTATTATTCAATTAAGCAATTAAGCATACACAACAACAGTAATACATTTCAAATTTTTAAATGAATTAAATCTAACAATATAAAAACCTGGCTGGAGTAACTACTGCGACGACGACCAGCGAGGCAGTCAGACAGGATGACGAGGGAGACCCTGAGTTGTGCTACTGTTCGTTCTTCTGATTGTGTTTTTTACAGGTTTTTTTTTTTTATTTTTTTTATTTTTTTTTTTTCAAGTACAGGGTAGAGGGCTAGTGTTTGAAATTAATTATTTTTTTTCTTAATTAGGGTTTAAATTTTGACTTCAAAAGGTCAAATGCTTACCCGTAGTCTAAGTAGGATAATAAGAAAAAAAATATAAATACACATGGCATCCCAATAAGCATAAATCTGTTGTTAACCTGCTAAAAATTGACAATTACTTTTTTTTTTCAGGTTCATGAATGAATTTGGAACTCATTGAGTCCGGTGGCTTAAAATTACTATCCCCAAATAATTCAATGGTCTATTTGTATTTTTTTATATATATAATACAATAATATAATATTATAAGTGCCGTCATTTAATCTTATATTAATGGTCTTCATAATTATTTGTGTACTGTATACATATACGAGTTATAATTCATGCACTGAGCCAACACAAAAATTAAAATAAGTAATTATTTAATACAATTTTTATATATTAAATAATTAATATAAAATAAAAATAATTATTTATTTTCAATATAACCAAATGAGTGTTTTCAACTTTTATTAAAAGTAATAGTAAATTATAGATGAGTATTGATGTAGATAGTTTCGTCATAATCAAGAATAAAAATGATGTTCTAAAAATAAATTAAGTCTTCTTAATGCGATATTGAAAAGTCAGTAAAACTTAATTTATTTTTTATTAAAAGTAACATGATTATAATACA